AAGCTCACTCCTTGGATGGTTAGAAGCCTTCTCATTTCCAACCTCAATCTAGTCATAGCCAGTTTATATTCATGTGTGCCACTTTGACTACTGCACACTTGTCCTCTCTATTACCTTGCTCCTCTTCCAGTCTGTCCAAAATCAGCTGCCAAACTCCTTGTTCTCAGCTGGAATTCTGTTCAAGTCATCTGCCCTCTTTGAATACCTCCACTGGCTGCCTTTGCCTTGCATACTTCTTGTCTTTTCTTTTTGAGGACCGATATCAATCATCTCTGAGCTATATCTTTCACAGTGGGCCTGAATCTCTTTTTACAGGAAGGCTCCTTTACAATATTCTGGCAGTATAAACAGGTCTTAAAGCATGTGTAAATGAGCATCACGGCCTTTGTCTCTATTTGTGTCTCTCTGTGTCATCCCTTTCACTTCGCCAATGACACCAGCTTCAAGGCCCCCTTCATTTTCTTCTTTCAGTCCTGCTTCCATGTTTTTTTCCATGACATTCCCTATGTCTGGAATAGCCAGACAGCACTTTTTCACCAAGCTCCTCTCCCCTTCTTCATTTCTACTTTTCCTAAATTCTCACTTCTAGCATGTCAAACTAAGTTAGTTAAATTGGTGCCATTTCTGTGTGTAGCCTGAGCCCCTAATGTTCTCTCCCCCCGGGTACAAAGTTTACAGTCTAAAGTTTAGACCACCCTTAAGTTCTTTTGCAGTATCAGTTTTTGGTAATATTTGAATTGCCCTTTCTGAGCACACACAAATTCAGTAGTACCAACTCTTGTGAATTAATCGCAAGTAACTGGATTTTGGAGCCTGCAGGGGGAGCTCTCATGATAACATGAGAAGCTTCTCCATTCCTACAATTTTGAGGGCTGCTCCAGACACAGCAGCAGCACAATGTGACTACAGGAGGAGTGGAGCCTTCGCCATCCCTGCTGCAGCTGAGCCTTGGCAGCACTTCCCTAATGCACACTGCTCACACACAACAACACACTCCACTCCAGGACTTCTCTTGGAAGAGCAGCTGCTAGGTTCCAGGCAGAGGAGAATCCCTGGAACAGCAGGGAGAGCAGAAAAGGTGGGGGCAGTTGGGGAAGTGTTGCTTCTTGCAAAAGGCTAAACCAGTCCCATCGTGTGTTTCCTGTAACAGTATAATTTATATGAATGATTGATATAAGTTGTGACATAGAAATATTGTCATTATATAGGATCGTTTTTGGAACATTACAAATACTTCAAATATAAAATTGCATATTATTCATGTGTATGAATAATGTGCAATTTTATATTTAAAAATTATAAAGTTTGTGGGGAGAACAACTTTATGCTTTATAAAAACAATGTTTCTAGAGCAGGGAATGGGGGGGGGGGTGGAGAGAAAACCACTGGAATCATGCTCATCCCACAATATATCCATTCCCTTCTAGATGTAAGAGCTAGGGTGACCAGATGTCCCAATTTTATAGGGATAGTCCCGATTTTTGAGTCTTTTTATAGACTCATAGACTCATAGACTTTAAGGTCAGAAGGGACCATTATGGTCATCTAGTCTGACCTCCCGCATGATGCAGGCCACAAAAGCTGACCCACCCAATTTCCCTTATCTCAGCTGTTGAAGTCTCCAGATCGTGATTTAAAGACTTCAAGTCACAGAGAATCCTCCAGCTTGCAACCCCTGCCCTATGCTGCGGAGGAAGGCAAAAAACCTCCAGGGCCTCTGCCAATCTACCCTGGAGGAAAATTCCTTCCCGACCCCAAATATGGCGATCAGTAGAACCCCGAGCATACAGGCAAGATTCTCCAGCCGGTCCCACATTTTACCACCGATGGCACGTTATTGCCTAATTGACTAGAATCACGTTATCCCATCAAACCATTCCCTCCATAAACTTATCTAGCCTAATCTTGAAGCCAGAGAGGTCTTTCGCCCCCACCGTTTCCCTCGGAAGGCTGTTCCAGAATTTCACCCCTCTGATGGTTAGAAAACTTCATCTAATTTCAAGCCTAAACTTCCCCATGGCCAGTTTATATCCATTCGTTCTCGTGTCCACATTAGTACTGAGCTGAAATAATTCCTCTCCCTCCCTGGTATTTATCCCTTTGATATATTTAAAGAGAGCAATCATATCCCCCCTCAGCCTTCTTTTGGTTAGGCTAAACAAACCGAGCTCCTCGAGTCTCCTTTCATAGGAAAGGTTTTCCATTCCTCGGATCATCCTAGTGGCCCTTCTCTGTACCCGTTCCAGTTTGAGTTCATCCTTTTTAAACATGGGAGACCAGAACTGCACGCAGTACTCCAAATGAGGTCTCACCAGCGCCTTGTATAACGGAAGCAGCACCTCCTTGTCCCTACTAGAAATACCTCGCCTAATGCATCCCAAGATCGCATTAGCTTTTTTCACAGCCACGTCACATTGCCGGCTCATAGTCATCCTGCGATCAACCAGGACTCCGAGGTCCTTCTCCTCCTCCGTCACTTCCAACTGATGCGTCCCCAGCTTATAACTAAAATTCTTGTTAGTCATCCCTAAATGCATCACCTTACACTTCTCACTATTAAATCTCATCCTATTATTATTACTCCAATTTACAAGGTCATCCAAGTCTCCCTGCAGAATATCCCGATCCTTCTCCGAATTGGCAATGCCTCCCAACTTTGTGTCATCCGCAAACTTTATAAGCCCACTCCTACATTCGGTTCCGAGGTCAGTAATAAATAGATTAAATAAAATCGGACCCAAAACCGAACCTTGAGGAACCCCACTGGTGACCTCCCTCCAACCTGATAGTTCACCTTTCAGTACTACCCGCTGCAGTCTCCCCTTTAACCAGTTCTTTATCCACCTTTGGATTTTTATATCGATCCCCATCTTTTCTAATTTAACCAATAATTCCTCATGCGGTACCGTATCAAACGCTTTACTAAAATCGAGGTATATTAGATCCACCGCATTTCCTTTATCTAGATGGTCTGTTACTTTCTCAAAGAAGGATATCAGGTTGGTTTGGCACGATCTGCCTTTCGTAAACCCATGTTGTAATCTGTCCCAATTGCCATTCACCTCAAGGTCCTTAACTACTTTCTCCTTCAAAATTTTTTCCAAGACCTTGCATACTACAGATGTTAAACTAACAGGCCTGTAGTTACCTGGGTCACTTTTTTTCCCCTTCTTGAAAATAGGAACCACATTAGCTATTTTCCAGTCCAACGGTACTACCCCTGAGTTTACAGATTCATTAAAAATTATCGCTAAAGGGCTCGCAATTTCTTGCGCCAGTTCCTTCAATATTCTAGGATGAAGATCATCCGGTCCGCCCGATTTAGTCCCGTTTAGCTGGTGAAGTTTGGCTTCCACCTCTAATACTGTAATGTCAATCCCCCCTCCTTTATTCCCCTCTGTCCTGCTCCCTCTATTCCTAAACCCTTCATTAGCCTTATTAAAGACCGATGCAAAATATTCATTTAGATATTGTGCCATGCCTAAATTATCCTTAATCTCCACTCCATCTACATTCTTCAGCGGTCCCACTTCCTCTTTCTTTGTTTTCTTCCTATTTATATGGCTATAAAACCTCTTACTATTGGATTTAATTCCCCTCGCAAGGTCCAACTCTACACGGCTTTTGGCCTTTCTCACTGCATCCCTACATGCTCTGACCTCAATAAGGTAGGTTTCCTTGCCGATCCCTCCCCTCTTCCATTCACCCAGACAAAAGAGCGTTGTGCCAGGCTGGGAGAACCAGAAAGCAATACTGTCTAAAAGGTGAGGGCTGGGTGCTCCACAGTTGCTCCTTGTGTAGGCAGCTGCTCCTCTGTAAAGTGGGTGTTAAACCTCAATCACTAGGCAATTGCGCAACCTTCTAGGGTGATTCTCCCCATGCACACAGTAGGTGGCTTTGCAGTTACACCGGTTGGATCCACGAGACAAGATATGAGCTGCAGAAGGGAGGTGGCTGAGTCAAAATGGGCATCGTTAGCAAACTGCCCTGCACTTCCTCTCCAGCTGGGTGGCTGGGTTAAGATAGTGTAAGTGGCTGGTGTAATCCCAACAGCAAAGCTGGTCTCCAAGGGTACATTTACACAGCAAAAAAACCCCACGGCAGCACATCTTAGAGCCCAAGTCAGCTGACTTGGGCTCACGCTATGGGGCTAAAAATAGATGTGTAGACATCCGGGCTCAGGCTGGAGTCCAGGCTCTGAGACCTTGTCCCTCACTGGGTTTCAGAGCCTAAACATCTACACATCTATTTTTAGCCCCGTAGTGCAAACCCTGCAAGCCTGAGTCCATTCATCCAGGCTCTGAGACTTGCTCCTGCGGATATTTTTTCGCTGTGTAGATGTATCCCAAGGGACCCCACTCAGTTACAGTATTTAACAGTACTGGTCTCCGTGGCTGCCCCTCTGCTATGGCCCCTGGAGAGACATATGCCCCTTTTCATGCTGTGCTCCTGGCATTGCCTGCAGATGATGGGAATGGTGCTGTGTTTGCCTTTGTTTATCATGGCACTCAGTTACATGGGCACAGTATGTGAAAGCCACTGAGCATCTGTGTCCATACAGCCCATCAGCTGGTAAAGTGGGGCTCCCAAGCAGCTAGCCAGTGCTTGTCAGGAGGGGGCAAGGCTGCTTTGCAGAGTGTTGCACTAGTGCAGACTTGGGGGGAACGTGGCAGGGGCATGGGACTGAGAGCTTTTCCAGAGGGACAGCTTTCCTCTGCAGATTTGCTCAACGTTTGCCTTTGGGAGTGCTTTGTGCTCACTTTCCCATACAGCCAGCTGATCCTGTTCCATCTTCTGGAGCTCCCCACGTGCCCTCAGCAGCAGCACCAGGCTGAGTTCAAGGGCAAGGACAGAGGGGAGGGGAGGTCTAGTTGCAAGGCCTCTCCTGCTCCCCAGCGGAGCTGCTGCCTGCACTTGTACATCTCTGGAGAATCAAGGGGTTGTAAAAGAGGCAATTAAACCACAAGCACCCATGGGCCTGCAGCTGCAGCTCACATTACATGCGGGATCCTAGGATCAGTGAGCGAAACCAGCCAGTCCCGCTTACATGTAAACTAGATGTTTAAAATTCATTGCTTGGTAATAGCCGGGGGTGCCCTACAGGGGAAGGAAAGTGATGCAGAAAATAGGATAGTAACAAGATGGTGAAAGTGGTAAATACCCATTAGGCAAAGTTTCAAGGCTGGGCAGAAATGTCTCCTAACATCTCAGGCTAGATACCTTCAGTCCCTCCTGCAACACCAGTGCTATTCCACCTCCCAGTCCAAAGACTGCCACGTGTGTGGGTTGGCGATGGTATTGTAGAGCAACATTCAGTAGTCCTGATTTACACAGCGTCAGTGAGAGCAGAGTCAGACTCACTGTTGTTAGCTTGATGCTGGCCCTTTAACTCGGGGCAATCTCCAGCTCAAGTTGTTAAGTCACAATTCTGGAGGGATATGGAGGGAGAGACTCAAGGTGGACTCTTTGGGCCCTGACCACCCTCAGCCTCCCCTCTGTGGGTTTTGGGTAGCAACTCCAGCTGAAGGGGGTGGAGAACATTAAAAGGTTCCTCCTGAAACTGCTGCTGTCACAGAGCCCTTCAGTGGGAGACAGGCCAGAAGTGAAGCTCTCCCTCATTGGGGGGCAGGGGGGAGAAGCGATGCCAATCCAGGCTTCTTCTCTGGGCCTTGTGACCAGTGGCTAGGAGTGGGCAGGACTATGTCTAATAGCAGATCAAAATACTGGCCAAGCACAGGGAGAGGAAGCAGAAAGGAGGCGTGCAGAAGGCCAGAAACAGCAACAAAGACCCCCAGCTTGGGAGGGTAGATTCATTGAACTCCTTCCTTTCCCCTTCCCCCTCTGTGTTGTTTCAGCTGGTCCTCTCCCTCCAAAGATTCAGAGGAGATTGTACCACAGTGACCCACCCCTTCAGGAGAGCAGGGGAAGCAGACTCTTCTAGCTTGTCACACCCTGCCTGACCACAGCCCTAGTGCTCCATTTAGAGGGTGAGAAGGAAATGGGGATGGTGGGTGAACAGTGAGGGATTAGGGAGGCTACAGCCAAATCTCGCCGCTGAGATCTGGGCTAGACAGCAGCATGAACGACATGTGCTTCTGTTCTGTGTCTGCAGGCTGCACTAAAGCGGATGCTGGCTCGGGCCTCTTTGCCCTCTGCACTCTGGATGGTAAGTCCCACTGCTGCCCTTGGATCAAGGGAAGAGAAAGGAAGGGATTGCCAGGGTGTAGCTGAGGCCTGTTACCACTCCGGAGCAGAAGCATGGGGGTAGTTCTAAGGACACACCGGAGGCTCAGTGCTACTGGATTTGGGATGGGATGCAATCAGGCCTCTGAAGTACCCTTAGAGCAGTGATACTCCGACTGAGTCTCAGGAGCTGCAAGTGGCTCATGTGTCTCCTGTATGATTTAATTATTAACCAATCAGGATGCTTTAATGATGTTATTAACCAATTAAGTTATCAACTTGTGCTAAGTTATTAACTTATTTGCTGTGAGATTAATATAAACTAAATATTTCCCCCGTCATACTGTTCAAATATGATAAGTCCTATAGTAAGTGATAAAATGAATTCACACTACTGTGGCTGGTTTGGGTAATGTTGATCACTAATTTGGCTCCTGAACCACTGAGGTCTGAGTAGCACTGCTTTCAAGACATGCAGGAGGATTTGGCAGTCGAGGTTGTTGCACTGACATTGTTCCTTGTCCTCATCTCAGATACATGCTTCCGTGTTAGTATGTTATGGGGAGAGGAGAGGGCAAGAGGTCCCCTATCCCTCCCTGCACAGGCCTTTGCTCTTGTGCCCGCAGGAGCCGAGAGAAGAGACCTCACCAGAGAGCCAAGCCCTGATTCAGCCAGGTGTGTGAGCACGAGGCTGACTCTAAGCACGTGAGCAGTCCCATTGAAGCTAGGCATGTGCTCCAGTTTCTTGCTGAATCAAGGCCTTGCTCCAGGGGTTGTTCTCGACAGGGAAACGGAAATGTTTTTTCTCAATGAATTATTCCTAGCAGTCGTCTGCACTTCGCTAGTGGGCACCTTGCATCCATGGATTTCAAAGCACTTTATAAAGATTAATTGCTGAAGCCACCCAAAGCTGCTGAGGGAGGGAAGTATTAAATCCACTTCACAAATAGGCAAACTGTGGTCTGGAGAGGGCAGGTGACTTGCCTAAAATCAAACAGCAGGTACTTAGTAGAGGTGGGACTAAGAACCCAGATATCCCCTGACTCCCAATCCACTGCTCTAACACTCCCAGTGTGAGACTCCAATCATTAACAGAATTTAATGGTCAGGGTCACCAGTGTTGTTAGATGTTTGGCTGCATGCGTGTGTTTTCCTTGTGTGCTGTCCCAGCCCTGCCTAGACAGCTGGCATGGTAGACCTCGAGCGAACCGCCCAATGACCACAATATCCGTTAAGGTACGAAGGCGCCCAGCCAAGTTTATTGTCGACGAAGCCAGTAATCGCACCTGGCAGACTCTACAAGGATATTAAGACATGTATGCCCGTGGCAGTGGACGCAGCTCAGTCAGTGGCGGGACTTTCCACTGCCCCCTAGGCTGGCCAAAGACACTCCCTCTGAGACGCCATTTTATACATCCGTATAAACAAGTTACATATTGGCCCTTTAACATGGTTAGTTGATACCCTCTGACGTAGCCGGTTACCAAGGAAGCACCTTATGCATTTCTATTTATTACACTGTTATCCTGACCTTCTGTTTAGGAGGGGTCAGTGTGTTCCTGTTATTTTTGGAGAATGTTTTTGTACCATCCTTAATATTGGGATGTTCTGGTACCACTTTTTTGGAATGTGTTTGCGTAAGTACTCTGTGCTTAGCACTTTTTAGGAACGATTTTTGCAATATCAGCCCTGTTCTTGCCAGATTTTGTGAACTTGCAAGCAGGCAGCGCCTGACATTTGCTCACAGCCTGACTTTTGCTAACTTTGCTTTATATCAGCAAAGTTTGCCCACTACTTTAGCTCAGGCCTCATACCAGGCCTCTAATACAAGGGCTTATATTTTAGGCTCTTTTTCTACTACATTGGCATACTCCAAGTCCATTTGCACACTAAGCTGAAATGCCATACAAATAATGCCATGTCTGAAAGCCTCTGGAAAAGAGCAGGGAGGCATGTTCCTTACACCCTTTGAGGTGGTTGGGATGCTGCCAACAGCAGCAAGGTAAATGAAGTCTTGGCAGAGGCAATGGTGTGTAGTGGATTGAGCATGGGCCTGGGAGCTAGGTTTTCCTGGTCATGTCCCCTGTGATAAAGAAGAGACAGGATTCAGGTGTGATAAATAGAAAGGGGAGGGGATTCTGTATTGAAGCTTTTGGATACAGACAGAATCCTTTGATTCTCACTGGCTCTTTAGCTCCCAGACTGGTGAACTGCCTAAAGTCACCATGCAGGGTCTCCCTAAATCCTGGCCTAGTTCAGCAGTCATGGAAGAGACATGCTGACTATGCTATGGTCCTGAGTTCTAATCCTGACTTTGCTACTGACTTGTGTGGCCGTGGGCAACTCCCTTAACCTCCATCAGACTCAGTGTCCCTCTCTGTAAAATGGGGCTAGTGATACTTACTGACTCCACAGGGTGTTGTCAGGATTAATTAGTATTTATTCCGTGCTGTGTCTCACAGACACACCTCCTCTGCGAGTCGCAATCTCCTAGCAACATCCTTGTGCCAGCTACAACAATTGCTGACATGGGAGAGAAACGTTAGGAAAGTATCAAGTGTGTTTTAGCTTCTCTTAATGTAATTTGGCAGCTGGGAACATAAAGGAGAGGCAGCTCCACGTGATCAGCCAGCTCTCTGCAGACCCCAGCTACAGCTCCCCAGATCCCCAGCGATCCATGAGTCATGGCTGGGGAACCTCTGGCATAAGCAGTGTCTGATTTGAGATGTTAGGGCTCATTGTGTGTCTGTATCTTATTCTGAGAAAGCATTTCCGTCCATTTCCCGGCTGTCTCAGAGTTCAATCCAATTAGCAGAGCTGTTGCCATTTTTCCTCTGAATCTCCAGCTATTGCTGACAAGCTAATGGGTCATCATCATTTCCGGAGATGAGAGACAGCACTGTGTGTGTCAACCATAGCCTGCACTACAGGGCTGCCTCTCCCTGGGAGTTCGCAGATGGAAGCCTCTGGATGGGGCCCAGCGCATTCCTGGGGGACACCACGGTCCCCAGTGATATTCTCACAGGGTCAGGCTCTTCTGCATGTCATAGGGATAGGGGATGTTGGCACCTCACCTTGCTTTGCTCTGAAGTCTGCACGGCTATAAACAGTAAGCCTGGAGTTCCTGAGGTGGCCTGGGCATGTTCAAACATCCTCCTCCCCAGGGCCCGAGCATGTTTGACTCAAATACTGAAAAGTACCCCTAGCAGCACAGCTGTGGGGGAGGGATTTACGCCCTCCCCCCCATCCCCCACAGATCCAGGCTGCTGACTCCTTTGTGGTAAGATGTTGTCTAAGCGTCTCCTTCTTCCCTTCAGGAACGTTGAAGCTCATGGAGGGGGCGGATAAGCTGCTGTGGTCCGTGCAGGTTGATCACCAGCTCTTTGCTCTGGAAAAACTGGATGTTACTGTGAGTATCAATGTGAACAGAGCAAAGACCAGCACTGGGAGAGGGCGACTAGGGGTGGAGACACTGAAATGCGTCTTTGCCACCTCCCGCACGGAAGAGAGAGCAGGGCATCCTGGGATTGTCCCATGTTCTCATAGAAAGCCCAAGAAAATAGAGCCTGTACCACAAACCCCACCGGCACTGTAGTCACTCAGCTAAGGAGCTGGGCTCTGACAGTATTACACTGTATAGTCTTTCCTCTTCCTTCCTTGCTGCCTGTCTTGTTCTCTGAGTTGAATGATTTTGCTCCCTGTTGTTAGGCGGAATAAGGAATGAGATGAAGAATAATATTATAATGCCAGTGTATCAATCAGTGGTGCAGTCTGCCGTGGATATTGTGTGCAATACTTTTCATCCCACCTCCAGAAGGAGGTGCAGAACTAGAGGGGGTTCAGAGAAAGGTGATGAGAGCAATCGAAGACCTGAGAAAACTCTCCTACAAATTTAAAAGATTGGGATTGTTACCTTGGCAGATAAGAGAGGAGATGCTGAAAGTATATAAAATAATGAATAGCCTAGAGAAGGTAGATCTGTTGTGTCTGTCTCATAACACACACACGGGGACAGTCAATTAAATTAAAATGTGGGAAATTCCAAACTGAGAAAAGGAAACACTTTTTTCACACCATGAGTAATTAGACTGTGGAACTCACCGGCACATGAAGTTGTTCAAGCCAAGAACTTAACAGAATTCCAAAAGCAATTGGACATTTATGTGGCTCTCAAGAGCATCCAGAGTTATAATTAATGTTGCCACACATTTGGAAGGAATATTAAACCTTGTGCCTCAGGGCTTAAAGTGTTAGACACCAGAATGAGACCTATATGGGGCAGGTTACCTCCAGCGTTCTTGCACCTTCCTCTGCAGCACCTGGCTCTGGCTATGGTCAGAGTCAGCACACTGGGCTAGATGGATCTTGGGTCTCATCCAGTATGGTAATTCCTATGTTCCTGTTCTCCGGAAACCCTCAAAAGCCTGACTCTCTCATCCTCCAAAGAGGGATGGTCAAGCTGAGATGCTTGTAGGTGAATAAGGCAGCCGGGAAGTGTTTAGGGCTCTTGTGGGGGAAGGAGGAAGCAGTCACTAGTAGGGAGTCAGGATGCTTGTCAAGGATTGGGGTGGGAGAATGAGGGGTTGAGAGCACATGGGATGGGGAAGGAAGTGACTGGCCCCATCTATAGTTTGTATTGTAGGGTAGACTGAACCTAGAGAGGCCACTGGCACAGGGAGAGCCCAGATGCCTTTTCCCTGAGAACAGATTATCTGTATCCCTTATCAGGAGATTATCCAGCTGTGTGCTGGGATGCTGCATTGAGCACAGGTTATATCAGAGGGTAGGAATGGATGCTGCTTGCTGTGGGCTGCTGGGATTCCTGTGTATCTCTCTGGATGCCTGATGCCTGTGCTAATCAAAGCTCTTCCCACTCCCCCACCTGTCCGACTCTGGCAGGGCAATGGGCATGAAGAGGTGATTGCCTGCGCCTGGGATGGCCAGACGTACATCATCGACCACAATCGGACTGTGGCCAGATTCCAAGTGGACGAGAACGTCAGCGCGTTCTGTGCTGGTGAGTGGCCTGCCTGGCGCCTACATCTGAGACACGCAGGCCTGGCTGTGAACTGAGCTGCTGACTGCGCTCCATGAAATATGTCACTGCTGCGCCAAGAGAGGAGGAAGCCCCTTGATTCTGTATCCTGCCCTGCTGGGTGGGTGACTGTGTGGGAAGCCCAGCTGATATCTTCATATTGCTGCAGGGAAGAGGCCTGGTGAGAGGGAGGGATGCTAGGAGACCCAGCCCTGATGAAGCACAGGTTTCCTGCTGCCTTGTGCCACTTTTACCTCCTGCTGACCCCCCGTGGGTGCTGTGTCCCCTGCAGTCAGCTGGTGAGACCCTGTCCCATCAGGGTTTTTTCACTGGTTTTCTCTGTTCCGCCCTAAAGGCACATTTGTCCACAGCTGGATTGCTCAGGCACGCACTGCATAGACAGCCTCCTCCTGCCACCATGTGACTAAGGGTCCATCAGGGAAATGCTGCACACCAAAGTCCATGTCTCTCAGTAAAGTGCACCTCAGCTCACCAGTGTAGCCAGAGACTTTCTACCCCATCTTAGATCAGCAGCACAGTTGGGCACAGAGGGGAGAGTTAGGCTACTCTATTGTGTTTGCCTTACCCCACCCTGTGCCTTCTGATCTCCCATGGCCTCCCCCTTACTTGTTTTCCCAAGTTACCTCTTCATTTCCTCTGCTCTTCACTAACTGCTGGTGGCTCCCTCCCTGGCTTTCCCCAGGCCTCTATGCATGCAAAGGAGGCCACAACAGCCCCTGCCTGGTTTACGTCAGTTTCAACCAGAAGATCTACATCTACTGGGATGTGCAGCTGGAGAGAATGGAATCCACCAACCTGCTGAAGATACTAGAGACCAACCCAGAATACAGGGACCTTCTGCAGCAGCTGGGCGTGGGTGAGCATTGCACAGTCTGCAGATATGCAGTGAGAAGGGGGATGGGATAATGGGAGGATCTGTATGTGGTGGTGATAGCTGGGGCTCCTAGGTACCTTACTGGGGCTAAAACGCTTCTCACTGGTGGTAATACCGCTCTTTCTCTGCCTCACTCATAGATGGAGATGATGTCTCGGCTGTCAAAGATCTGATTCACAAGACCCTGTACTTCCCAGAAAAGCAGCCACAGAACAGCCCTTGCCAACATCGGGGCCCTGCTGGAGCAGACTCCTCCAGTCACCCCACCGTTGCCCAAGACTCGTGTACGTAATAGCACCTCTGCTCACAGTAGTGACCTTTCTTTAGATGTTGGCTGCAGTCAGGCATTCATGTTGCACCAAGTTCAGTGTGTATCTGGGATCAATGAGATCCTTCCCTCCTCGTCAGTCTAGGCTTCCAGCAAGCTAGCAGCCACAGACAAGGCACTGTGTTAGAATTAGCCTTCAGGTCAGGGGTGAGGTAAGGTGAGCGCTTGGGTGCTGGTTTTATCATTGAGGGATGGCGAGTTCATTGCCCCTTTAGTTGAAGCAATGAGGGTCCAGTTCCTTCTGTTCTCTGGGGTGCCACCATTAGTATTAAACTCTTAGCAGCCATGTTCTCTGCTGGTCAAAGAGTTGTGCTTGTGAAGGGGAAACAGAGAGCAGCAAACTTCAGTCTAGTCTTGGTACGTTATTTGTGCGGTACCAATGGAGCTGATCCCCTGAGTTCCTAGCAGCAGAGGAATGGGGGATTAGCTTGTGGTAGAGAGGGCTTTTTGGTTGTCAGGGGTTTTTATCACATGTCCACATGCATGAATCACTAGACAGGCCTGCAGCATTACCCCCGCTTCAGTTCTGACACTCCCCTTGATCCTAGGCCTCCTCTCACAGCAGCAGCTTTCTTCCGAGGTGTGATCTCACACACAGAGGTGATTTGTTTCCCATGGTACTAATAACAGGGAGGTGTGTGGCTGATGCCTGAAGAAAACTAGGCAGCTCCAGCAACAGCGCTGGCAAAAGGAACCCAAACTGCTCTTGGTAGGAATGCAATCAGGAGAAAGTTGAACCCTCATTCTGATCGCTCACATAAAGACTGTGGGCCAAGCTCATCCCTGGGATGACTTTATACAGAGCAGTCAAGAACTGGACAATAAATTGAATCCATTCTAAACGTTGTTCTGTGATGATGACCAGCCTTGCAGCCAGTAGTGCCACTGTGCCTCCCAGCCTTGCACATCTGCAGCAGCTGCAGTAGTGCTACTCTGCCTTCCACCACTGGACACCTGGAACAGCTAGAAAGAGCATCATTTTGCTTTCCAGCCCTGCTCATGTGTAATAGCTAGGAGGAGCAGGCACTCCACTTTCTGCCACTGCAAAGCTTGGGGGCATGCCACTCCAGGTCCAGCACTGCACAGAGGGGAAAGGTGGCACTGCACCTTCTGCAGGTCTGCTCTGCTCTCTCCAGCCCTTGAACATCTCTGACTGCTGTGCCTCCTTCAGTCCAGCGCCAATCTCAACTCATTAAGAGGAGACCAGCAGGCAAACCTGCTGCTCTGCATCCGTTATCATCTCTCATCCATGTGATGTTTTATTTAACACGCATAATGGATGGAGCTTTCCTCCCACGCCCCACCACAGACAGATTTGGATCTGACTCCGAGCAAATATAATTAATTCAATGATCGCCCCTTAGCAAATGATAACATGTAAGGATCCCACAAGCTGCTGGGCTCCTGCTGCGCCATGTTCTGAAAAACACCCTTGAGCACCTCAGCAGGGAGACTGAATTCCCCACTCCTTTCAGGAGAGTGGAAGTGCCTGCCTGCCAGGGGTAGAGACCTAGGGTTGGAACAGACAGATTTGGGTGGGGGTGCGGTGTGGAGCATCTGATTATTAGACAATAAACCTTGGCTCCTGTGAGTATTTTCTGTCCATAGATCTCAAAGTGTTTTAGAAAGGAAGGTTCTCCCCATTTCTCAGATATGGAAATTGAGGCACAGAGAGGTAAAGTACCCTGTCCCAGGCCACACCAAGGAGTCGGTGACAGAGCTGGGAACAGAAGTAAGTTTTCCTAATTCCCAAATCCTGTGCCTTCTCCACCAGACTCTGCTACATGGCTACAGAGAAAGAAGGTTTTCTCTCCCCCATGTAACCAGTACAGGGGACGGCATTATGGGCATAATTTTCAAAAGTGCTTAAGGCCCAGAAATCAGTGGGGGTTATGTCCCTGAATACCTTGTAAGGGTCTGGGCCTAAGTGACTTAAGAACTCAAGTCCCATTGATTTTTTAAAAATATTGCGGTCTGTGGAAAGGGAAGGTTTGGGGTTTTGAGGCACTCTCCTGCACAAACTGAAACCAGGGCTGTAGGACTTAGACCAGTTGATTCTTCCCAAGAGATGATTCTATGGGAAGCATCTAGTAAGGGGATGAAGCTGTGGGGATTGTTATCCAAGGGCTTGTCTTCACTAGAACATGTCCTAGAACACAATACTGAGCAGGACTTTGCAAGTGCTGTAAACAGGGACCGGCCATGCTTCACACCGTGCCAGCTGATGATGGTGTAGTGGTAATCACTCCTCAGGGCTGTGTGTTTAACTTTCTGTCAGTTTCTAATGGATACAAGTTCCAACAAGGTTATAAAACATGGCATAGTTTAGCACCCTCATGCTACCTCCAGGTTCTAAGCCAGTTATGGTCTCCAGCCCCAGCACAGTCGGGCCTTGCAGAAGACTCAATGATCTTTGTTTCAAACACAGCCAAAACACAGCACTCCCAGCCTGGCTTCTGAGGCTGGGCATTGAACAGTAGTACAATTCCATCTCTGTATAAGTGGTGGAGAAAGCTTCTGCCAGAGATGTTGGTCTGATCTAGGGTTGACAACTTTCTAATTACACAAATCCAAACACCCTTGCTCTGTCCCTTCGAAGCCCTGCCCCTACGAGCCTCCGCCCTGCTCACTCCATCCCCCCTCCCTCCGTTGCTCACTCTCTCCCATCCGCACTCACTTTCACTGGGCTGGGGCTGAGGGGTTCGGAGTGTGGGAGCGGGGTCTGGGCTGAGTCTGGGGTAGGGGGTTGGAATGCAGGAGGGGGTGCAGGGTGCAGGCTCTGGGAGGGAGTTTGGGTGCAGGAGGGGGCTCTGGGCTGGGGTAGGGGGTTGGGGTGCAGGAGGGGGTGCAAGGTGCAGGCTCCAGCCAGGAGGCGCTTATCTCTGGCAGCTCCTGGTCGGCGGAGCTAAGGCAGGCTCTGTGCCTGCCCTGGCCCTGCGCCACTCTCAGAAGCGGCTGGCATGTCCCTGCAGCCCCGGGGGAGAGGAAACTACCTGTCATCCCCTCCCCCTCCCCCCCCGGGGCCGCAGGGACGTGCCAGCCACTTTTGGGAGCAGCGCAGAGCCAGGGAAGGCAGGGAGTCTGCTTTAGCCCCACTGCGCCACTGGACTTTCAGCACCTAAAATCTCCCAGTTTGGCTTCAGTAGCCTCCAGAAGATAGGGCGTGATTCCGGGAGAGTCCCGTCAAAACCGGAAGGGTTGGCAACCCTAGTCTGATCCCAGGGAACAGGCATCAGGAAATTTGGGGCACCAAATTTCCCGGGCCCCTACACAGCTGCGTGCTGCTCCAGCGGCCAGCCCAATCCCCGGGCCAGCTGAGCTGGCCAGGAAAGCTACCCCCACTCCCACCCCGCACCCACTCCACCCCTTCCTCATAGCCCCCACCCCTGCTCTGCCCCCACCCTGCCTCTTCCCACCCCTGCCCCACTCCACCCCTTCCCCTGAGCTATGTCCCGGGGGACTGCAGCAGGGGTCAGGCGCGCCCTGCACTCACCGGGCGACAGGAAGTGGAGCAACCTGGCCCCAATCCGCTCTGCTGGCTCGTGCTGGGGGGCGGTTTTCCCCCAAGCCTTCTCCTGCCCCCCCCCACAGACCTTGGGTGCAGACCCCCCTTCCCATGGAGGCCTGGGGCCAGCCCCCCCACCTGCAGGGGAGCTGCGTAGGGCATCACAATGTCTAGGGATGCTCTGCTCTTGTGCACGTGGCTGTAACACTTCTTTTGTGTGGGTGCTTTCTCACACACACACACACACACACACACACCAACATAGAGCAGTCATGAAAAGACTGTTCTACACAGATATAGCCCTGTTTCTGCATGGCCGCAGCTTGGTGCCTCTTATCAAGCTCTGGTCCCTGCGTATCCCACTTTGGTTGGCAGGAGTTGCTAGCAGCAACATGTCCCAGCTCTGATTACATCTCATTCTCCCGATGGGGCCCCAGGCACCAAAGGGTTCCCACAGCCTGCTACCAGGAACACTCCATCTGCCAACACCAGGGTCAGGCTGGCAGAGCTTCCAACTACGGAGCCCAGGCTGTGGCAGGGCGGTCAGCGGGCTCTTGTAAAGCATTCCCAGCGGCCTGACTGCAGAGCAGCTGTTTGCAGGGCCGGGTCAATAACAACAGAGAATGACTTGGTTCTGGCTGCCCACTTGAAGCAGAAATCTTTATTAACAACACAGGAGACAAGGGAGCACAAATGACTGCATTGATACCATGGATGCAGCATGTTCATACAAAACAAGACCCTGCCACGCAGGTCAAACTGTTGCCAAGGAAGAGCGCCAAGTGTAGCTGCTGTGGGACAGGAAACTGTGTAAGGCAGAGAGGGGCTCATGCAGAGATATGCCACTTTGATGGGGACCTGCTTCCAACCAGACTGGGCAACATGTACCCAAATGAAATCTGAACAAGGGCTAGTGCGAGCCACTCAGCATGACGCTCTGACCTGTAACCCCTCTCCCACTGATGAGCTTGGTAGAGAGGTCACATGGGTACAAGCACTTGAGGACCTGCTGCTGAGGACTGCGTTGTCCAAAAGACAGGGAGGGCCTCATTTACAAACACAGCGCTCTAAAGCTGGTGGTTTACTTCTTAAGCAAAAAAAGTTTTCACCCCAAAATGGCCCCAATCTAAAATTTTCATGCAAAATTGTCTATTTCACAGTTTATCTGTTTTCCATTTCTTTTGATGTTTTTATGTTTTTTTTCCCCTTTTACCCTCTCTCCTTGTCTTTTCGGTCATTTTCAAAAATCAATTCCCCCCCCCCCAAAAATGGGGGAGAAGGAAAAACTTAAAAATTGATGAACAAAAATATCAGAATTTTTTGGGGGGTGAAATTGTTTTTCCATTTTTTCAACCAACTCTAGATTGTTCCTAGCACTCGAAGCCAGTGGACGCTTCTGTTTACTCCCTTCTTTCCCCTGCTCCTATTACGTGCACAGTAGGATGGGCGAGGATAAGAACACCTTGCACAAAACAGGAGCATTGTCTCCTGCTGAGAGGACCAGAGCAGTCTTTATATTGCCTTTGTGCCAAGTGACACCTTCCTCCTCTCTTCATGCCCCACCCAGCAATCGATGGTGGCAGCCCCATATGAATCTAACTGCCATAACTTCCAGTAAAGTGTGGCTCTACAATGAAAAGTGACTGACCATGGCCCCTTTTTCCCAGGGTACGTTCGAGTCATGTTTGCTGCTCATAGCGCTTTTTGGCCCCTGTTCGCCCTGCAGAGCCAGCACAGCTGAGAGAGGGAGCTGGATTCTATTCCTGCCTTGCTAAGTTATGATCAGTTACAGCTGTGCAAATCCACTGATGGCACTAGGGCAGAATCTTTATCACAGGTGATGACAGAGGAGAAAGAACGAGCCAAGCTTGACTCAGATCCCAGGGCAGTTTGCAGGGCTGGCACTTAGGCCCAGATCCCTGAAGGAATATAGGCTCCTAACTTACACTGAAACCAACAGAAGTTAGGATCTGGACCTTACCGACCACAGTTCAGGGTGCTCAGTTTACAAACAAAAAGATTTTTTTTTCCTGAGAGATGATCAACATGGATGCCCATGATGCTGCTTTTAACAGTGTTCAGAGTCCAATTGCCCTTTAATACTTCTAGATGCTTCCCAGCTGAACACCATCGAGGCTGCAAGTCTGTGCATACAGCTGAGAGTTCCCTAGCTCCTTGAGCAACAGGGAGTTAAACAGCACCCCCTGTGGTACACATGTGCATAACCAAACGTCTGGCATTTAGAGATGCTGTAGCTCAGTGGTCTCCAAACTTTTTTGATCGCGCACCCTATCAGTAAAAAAGTTTTGAGCATGCACCCCCTGCTGCGTCGGCTCTACCATTTTTGCAAAAGCAAAAAAAAAAAAAAAGCCGCTCGGACTCCCGCCCAAACTGACAAAGCAAATTTTTAAAAAATGCGCTCCTGCCGCGCACCCCCAAGGATCCTCTTGCGCACCCCTGAATGATGGCTGGGATCATAGAGTTTAAGGCTGGAAGGGACCACTAGATCATCTAGTCAATAGGTGGACCGTGGGCCAAGTCCAGACTGCCAGGTGCTTTTGAACAGACCCCAAAATCTTTTTATTATTATTTATTATTATTTTCTCTGGAGTCTGGACCTTGACTATGCCTTGACCAAGAAATTTGGACCTAGACAAAAAATAATTGCTGAGTCTAGTCTGACCTGCTCACAGGCCACCAGCACCACCCAGCACCCGCACACTAAACCCATCAACTGAAATGAGACCAAAATATTACAGCCCACAGGAGACTAGACTATAATGTGCCACAGGCAGAGAAAAGAAGGGACCAAGTGCACCAGTGCCCAAGCCTCCTGCAATGGCAGGGAAATGAGTAAGTGAGATATACCCAGATAATCTTGGCAAGCAACCTGCACCCACATGCTGCAGAGGAAGGCAAATCCCCCTGTTCCCCCCAAGCTACCTGCCAATCTGACCTGGGGGGATCGGTTAGATCCTGAGCATGTGAGCAAGACCCAGCCAGCCCAGCCCCTGAGAGAGAGAATGCTCGGTGCCATCTCAGAGCCCCTGGTCCACCCTGCCCAGTGTCCCATCTCCAGCCATGGCCATCCCTGATGTTTCAGAGGAAAGAGATAAAAAACCTCCCAGAATACACTGGGGGGGAGGGGAAGATCCCTTCCTGACCCCTTTAAGTGGTTGGCTGAAGCCCTGAAGCCCGAGCTTTAGGAACACAGGACATAAATCAGAAGTGAGCCCCAGGGCTGCTTAGCTGTGCCCCCCCCCCATCACAAGCACCCCCACCATACAATCACACTCATAAATTCATCCAGCTCTCTCTTGAAACTAATGCATTTGTTTTCCCCCACAACTCCAATTGGGAGGCTGTTCCAGAACCTCACCCCTCTGATGGGTAGAAACCTCATTTCCAGCCAGAATTTGTTCATGGCCAGTTTATATCCATTTGTTCTTGTGCTAGCATTGTCCTTTAGCTTAAATAGCTCTTCACTCTCCCTGGTAGTTACCCCCTTAATGTATTTATAGTTCATAGTAAAATCCTGCTTCAAATATTAATTCTTGATCTGTTTTCCTGTCCAGTGACAGAGGCCTTTAGTCTTTGGTGCCTTTCAGGAAAACAGGGATGACTAAGCACTGGCAATGGCTCTAGGAGAAAAAACATTTGTAAATGTACTTGAGCCTTTTCCAGAGTTAAACTAGTATTAAGCCATCATCAGCATTGCCAACCCTAAGGGGTCAAACATGGGTCAGGCCCCTGAAAATTATGGGATTGGCTTAAAAATCATGAGAGTTTACAATTAATCTATTTGGGCTTCTTTGTCACCTGGTTTTTGAGACTTTAGTTTTTGAGTTACTGCACCATGAAACTGACTTTTTTAAAAAAAATCAAGCTGAGGTTCTCATGTCATCAAATGACTCCAGGAACTGGGGCTTTAAGAAGAACACCCACCGAGCAAAACGTATGATGAAATGGTGAAAGTTGGCAACGCTGCCTCATTTGATGCTGTCATGGCAGGGTGGAGCCCAGCAGGGGAGAAGGGCAGAGGTTCCATTTCTGATGCAAAGGAAAGGAGGCATTGAGAGCTCGGGTCACACCATGATTCAGTTCCCAATGAAGGGGGGGAGCCAAGGAAGTGGCAGAAGGGATCCCAAGCCATTGCATTCAGGCCTGCAGCTCTCACTGCTTGTATTGCTGCTGCCCTTTATGAGTTGGGGCTGGGTCAGGGTTTGGCAATCCAGACAGTGCTGGGGGGAAATGCTGCAGTAGTTATCTACAAAAGGGTCCACAATGTTCAGGGAGAAGGTAAATGCCAGAGGGCAGAGTACTGAGTAACCTGGAGGAAGTACCAGACATTCGATTGATACAGTAGGGAGGAGAGTGGAAGAGCACATCTGCTGCCATGGAGCTGATTACAAATTGGGGATTAGAATCCCCCACGCACTGATGTAGGAATCAAGCAGAAACACCCTCAACACAATTGACACGGAGATTGCATGCAAGCACGTGAACATGTATGATTCCTAAGGGAGGAGGAGAGGAGAGAGCAGAAAGGCAAAGGCACAAAATCAGGGAATACTAGCAAAGGAAACAAGAAACCATCATTATAATATTTATGTGGGAAGCAAGAGGACGACAGAAAAGGGCAGGTCTGCTACTTACCGATGGGGGCGGGGAGAACAAACAAACAAAGGCAGCAGCTGACATGGTTCATTATGGAGAGGAAGAGATTACAGAATAGCCAAATAACCTAAATGTATTCACAGCCATAGGGCCTGGTGAAATTCACCCCACCAAGCAATCGGAATTTGCAGAAGTATCTGAACCTTTGATGACTGTATTTGAAATCTGAAGAAATGTGAAGCCTGTGGAAGGGTAGAGAAGGAGCAAAGGATGCTCTGAAGGAGAGCAAAGGAGGGGATTCCAAGGCCTTACAGATGAGTAAATTTAACTGCAATACTTGGCATATTGCTCCAACAGCTAATAGAGCAGCCAACTACTGAGCACCTACACAAAAATAAGTGATAAATAATAGGCAAAGTAAATTTGTCAAAGAAAAATGATGCCAATTTACTATCGGAACCAATCCTTCTCCCATTAAAATCAGTGCAAATCTTCCCATTGACTTCAGTCTGAGCTAGAGAGGGCTCTTAGGTTTTGTTTGTTTGTTTGATGAAATAAATTTAATGGATAAAGGAAATGCAGTGGACATAATAGCTATTGCTTTCAACAGGTTATTTGATACATTTTCACAAGCCATCCTTTGAGTGAAACTCAAGAATTATGGACTAGATGAGTTGCTACAGGATGGGATATAAAAATGAATAACATTTAACAAATTGTATTCATTCAAGAGTCAATGTCAAATTTGAAGGAGGTTCCAATCCCAGTCAATATTGTCATTAAAGATTCAGATGCACAAACAATACAGATCCAGGAGGGACTGCAGAGGGATAGGATCATAATACAGGACAATCATGACACATATGAGACGAGGCCTCTAAATCATTGGTATTATTCAGGAAAGATATGTAGAGTGCTTCACATAGGAAGGAATCATCAGATGCACAATTGCAAAACAATGAACGAGGCAGCCGTGCTACAGAAAAAGAGCTGCAGGATATAATGGGTGATGAACTGAATAAGAGTCAACGGTCCAACACTGCTATTAAGAGGGGCATGTGCCATTCTGAGTCGCATTGACAGGAGTATTATATATAAAATTAGCAGGGTAATTATTCCACTCTTCTTAGCACTGGTTAAGCCTCGGAGTCCTGCATCCAGTTTAGGGCAATCCTTTTACCCCAAAAAAAGACAAATAAACCGGAGAGCTCAAATGAGCACAGGAGAAATAATAAAATTTTTGACAAGTGAGACCCACAAAGAGACCCAATTAGGTCCAGGAAGAAGATGGCAGAGAGGGGACGTCGGAACCATCTACAAGTGGATGAAGGGATGTTATGAAGAGGGCTGGCATCAGTTATTCTCATTAGTCGCTGAGGAGAAAAGCTGTAACTGGGCACAAATTGTAGAATAGAAAATTTTAGTCAAAGATTAGAAACAAAAATTAACCAATACACCCATTTGGGAATGGCGCAAGCTGCCCAGAATGGTGGCGGTGTGTCTGTCCCTTGAGACTACATACTCATCTATCAGCGATGCTTTTAGGGTAATGAAATCAGGCCTGCCTGTATGAAGAAGAAATGACTAAGTGACCCACCAGAGGTCCTGTCCATCCCAGATGAGTTCGTAACTCTGTGACCTGAGCCGATACTGGGAATGAGTCGGGTTCTTTGCTTTCATGCAAGAGACGTAGTCAATGGGGTGTGGAAGTCCAATGGTTGAAGTTGATGGTGTCTCTGTGTCGAATCGCCAGGGACCAGGAGGAGAGCTGATGGCAGGTGTAGGCCTGGAGTTCATGTGGTATCTAAGTTGAATCCCTGGAGCTCAGAGTGAAGAAGCAGAGTTGATGGGTGTGTAAATCTGGTGACGGGAGCTCATGGCTGGCAGGGGTGTCAGCCCAGTTACTACGGTTAACAGGGGGAGAGACTAGCACTTGAGCTCATACAATACAGAGTCTAGTAGCTAAGGCTGGCTGGCCAGGCCTGGCGCCTGTGTATGCTCAATGCTCCCAGGGTGTTTCAGCTCAGCATTTCCTAGAAGTCTTCCTGCTTTGAATGAAAACTCTCAAAATGCAGTGACTGCAATTTAAGCTGCTTCCAGTAAAATCCTTCCAGTCTGCTCTGAGCCAGTGCAGGGTAATGAAATCCAGCTCTCCAGAGGACAGGGAGGATGGGCCACAGGGCCCTTCCCATGCAGCATGGGAAAGAGGGGCCCCTCCTGTCCAGATAGATCTGCGGCCAAAAGGGAAGGGAAACTTTTAAAACAATCTTCAGAGGCTTTAGAAGAAGCCACCATCTCTCTGCAGGCAGAACCCCTGGAGACTGCTCGCAGTGACACTTCCTATGTTATCAATACATGGCAGTGTAAAAAGAAGTCACTAAAAGGGCAGAAGCAGAGACCAGAGAGAGAACGGGGACACAGAGAGAAATGAGAACAAATATCCACTCAGCACATGGGGACAAGCAGGAGGGTCCATTGCAGGGAGGAAGAACTCTCCATACAAGAGGCCAGCTTGCATCAACAGCGGGACAGCACCTGGCTCCCGTTTACCTCCTCACTCCCCCATGGAAGCCTCAGCGCAGGACTCAGCAAGGTCCAGGTGTGTCAGCCCCAGCTGCAGGTTTCCCTGGTAAGCCATAGAGTCTCCTCCCTGTGGACATGGGGAGCCGGCCCATCACTGCCCATGCTCGTCAGAGGCATGTAAGAAAGGCAGCTCTTCACTCAGGGCTTTCAGCCGCAGGACTCCTTCCTCCAAGTCGATGCAGCACTAAGGGGGGCAGACGAGAGCTGGTTACCCATAGTATGTATCAGTCACAAGGCATCAGCAGGGTACGTGGGCTGTATGGTGTCTATTACCACGGAGAAGCAGGAGCCCATCTAATAATCACCACCCCCCTCTTCCCTCCCTCTCGCCAAGCCAGATTTTGGAGAGCACCCTCCCATCAAATTCACAGCTGCTCTTCCTAAAGAAGCTCCTTACCCTCGGCCTTCTTTTCCTTCCATCCCCCAACACACCTGCACCTCTTCTTCTGCATACACCTCCATTGCTCCTTCCCATCCCTCACCCTCGCTCCCTCCCGCTCCCCAGCAAGGCCCTGCTCAGGTGACTGTCTCTCACCTTGTTCAGCACAGCCGCCTTATTCGCACATTGCATACATGACCCTTCTTAGGGGGGCCAAGGACATCATGCCCCCCTCCATCACTTTCCATTGGTTTTGAATCCAACTCCAACCTGGCCACCTAGCTTCCAAATCACCCTCTGCTCTTAGCCCCCTGCCTTCATTCCCTCTACTCCACCACAGGGTTCCTCTCTCATCCCTCCTTATGGCCACTGGGGTACACTGACAGTTTTACCTCTGTCTACCCCACCCTGTGCACCTGGTTCTGTCTCTTCCCCTCCTTCCAGTTCACGGAGCCATTCAGCTCTCAGCCTAACACCATCCCACTCATTGAGTGACAGTGCCCTTCCCCATTGCTTTCCCTTCCCCCATTGTGCCCTGCTTCCATCCTCCACTTTCCCACTCACCTTTCTACACTCCCATTCCTGCCTCTTCCCAGCCCCATCTTCTCCCCCCATTGGAATGGTCACTCCCATTTACCTGCCTCCTCTATCTTTGCTGCCTCCTCCTTGCCAATCTACAAGGCCTTCTCAGGCCTTAGCATGGTTATCGTTTGGGCTTCTTTCTGCTTCCCCTCACCCCTGGCTTCTCCTTCTGTAGTTCTCTCTGTTCTGCCTGCAGGACAGGGGCTCTCCCAGCATTCCTCCTCCTATGGAGCATTTCTCTGATGTTTTCAGTAAGGAAGGCTGTGTATGTAGGTATTTAATGGTTCATGCTGGAGAGAGCTCGCCAGCAAATCGAGACGGGGCTTTCTCTTCAAGCTGTGCTAGGATCTAAATCACAGGCTGTGTTTCTGGGTCATTTAGGGATCAGCACCCACCGGAAGGGAACGGCAAGCATAGATGCTCTCTGCTCCTGGGTTCTGGGCCCTATTCTGGGGGAAGGCAAAACCCTTGAGAGAGATTTCCCAGCTGAGTCCCCCTCCACAGAACAATTCCAAGTCTCAGCACTCCGTGCATAGATAGGCCCATCCTCCTGCATGACGGAGACTGGAAGGGACTCTTCAAGCTCCAGCAAAGATGCTCTCAGGAAGGGGTTACTTTTGAGAGATGAAATCTCTTCCCACCATGTCCCCTAGCAGAGCATTTCCCCGGCTCCCAGGAAAGAGACATCAGGAGAGGGAGAAACTGTAGATCTCTGCCATGGGGCTGCACAGGGCTCTAGCCACTCTCTGATCCAATAAGGTTTTAAAATGACAGGAAAGGGGTTCAATACTCATGCCAGCTAAGAGCATGCTGCAGTCAGAGATCAGGAAGCAGGGTGGCCAACACCCTGGCAGGTTTGGCCATCAGCATCGCATGCTTCCTGCAGCCCCAGCTTGGGGTCTCATTGAGACATGCCACCACACCTACATTATGTTCAGATGCGATGAGAGGAAACCCATTCCTTACCTTGAGAGACAGCAGAGTCTGGAGGCCGAAACAGAACTCCAGCATTTCATCATCTGGGGAAACAGAGAGGAAGTGGGTCAGGCTCAGGCATAGGTGTTTTCTGACAGTCTTCCTTACGCAGCACCTGAGTGACTGCCTTATACCCATGGCTGGAACTTGCTATAAGTTATCAAACCTCTGGCACGTATGGGGTCAGCATGCTAGGCACAGCAGAGTGTGGCCACTCCATCTTCCCAGACGCCTGAACGTCATCCTTTCCACAGCTGCAGCCTGCAGGGGTTAAGTGCTACTCTACCTGTCTATGCTCCTATAGACAACCAGCCATCAGAGAGGCCAGAGGAACAGTCCAACTCTCCTGCGCAGAGAGGAGACAGAACCAAGGGTGAGGAGAACCAGAGAGAAGGGGACGAGAATCAAGTGAGCTGGGGTCAGGAGAGGGAGAGAAACCAGAAAAGATGGAGGAATGGGTGTGGCAGGAGTACAGTGAGGAGGGCAAGAGACAACAGAGGAGCATGAAGAGGAACGGCACTGGGAGTAAATCAGCAGGCTGAGGAGAACGGGACAGAGAGAGGCAACGGGAGAAATCAGGGATGGATGAGAAGACAAATAAAATGGGGGAGAAGGGACGGAAAGAAGAATCAATCTCTTATTTTTGTTGTATGCAGAGATTCACATGCCTGGAAAAAATGCAACCTCCCTGCCACCCCTCCAATGCCTATTAAATGGGCTTCATTCCCCACGGCCCCTCCCAACAAGATCCTGCCTCTGGACACTGGCGAGGGCTCCCAGACTCCTCTACAATACAATTCTGCCGTACTCCTTCCTAGACAGTCTCTTCCCATTCAGTCTCCCCTGCCCCCTGGGAATTGTATATGGAGCAGGACAAACTAATCAGTCTGGGCATTTTTAGGAGACAAAGCAAAATGGCCCACAATGGGGCTGCATCATCTCCACTGCCCTTCAGCCAGTTCCCCCATTTGCCAGCATCTCCTTGTGGAGGGGGACACAGCAAGATCAAAGCCTCTGCATTGTACATGGGACTGTGCCTTGGCCCAGCCCCATGGGCCATGTCACCTTCCCCTCCACCCCTGCTCCTAGATGATCCATTTAGGTGTGCTGGCAAGGAAGGAAGAAGAGATCTGGGAAGGGGGAGGAAGCTCTGCTGGGCTCACCCACGACCAGCGCTGAGCACACCACCGTCTCCTGGCCAAGCTGCACCTCCACACACTCCACCTGGCCAATGACACTAGGGACAGGAAGGGAGAGATCCCCATTGCCAGCATCGGACACTTCCTCCAGCCTGTGAGACACAAGGGATGTTACTGCCTGAAATGAGCATGGGCAAAAGAACAATAGGTGCTCCAACTAGTTAGGGACACTTCACAGTCTCTTTGGAACTGGCTTGCAAAAGAGAGGGGATCTCACTCATATAATGGGGATGTCAGGAGCAAGATTCTCCAGGGGTAACCCACAGGCACTATGGGGCTGGGTTCCCCTGAGTAGGTGCAAAGCATCAGCTGGTCATCTTGGGATATGCAGTATCCACAGCCAAATTGTTACCCCTCTGCCAATGCTCCTCAGACCTGCCCTGCAGCCCCCTGCTATTCCAGCCCTGGGCTCCCCACACAGCTCTGCCAGTGCCCCTCAGTCCTGTCCTGCAGCCCCCCCATTATTCCAGCCCTGGGCTCCCCACACCCTAAGCAGTCGGGTGTGAATGCAAGGGTTCCCGATGTGAATGGGAGTTGGGGTATGAGTGCAAGTGGTAATTTCAGATTCAGAGTGAGCACAGTTTTTAATGCCCAATTCCTTGTTTTCTATCCTACCCCCAATCTCTTCTGCCCCAGGCTCTTACCCCAGCCGTTTCAGACAGCTCATGGAGATGAGGTTTTGCTGGCAGCCAGTGTTAACAGCAGCTCTCAATACCTGACCTTGGCACTAGAAGAAACATAAAGGCAGGTTAATACAGGCTTAAACTGACACAAACCCTACACAGAACCCCTGGCAATAGTGTGAAAATCCCTAAAAACTAGTGACAAAAGGACATCAGAAGGTTTGGGGTTCAGATGAGCATCCACAAGTTGGGGTGCTCTTGGGAACCCATGGAGGCCCCAGCAAGACTCTGTGAACCCCGCCCCACCAGCATCTTCCTCTATTTGACTTCTTACAGGAAGCCCAGTAACCTGCCACCCCTCTCCCCTTCTGGCATCTTTAGGGAAGGATGATGGGTCTGCTTCCATCTCACTATAGCATCTTCCCTTGTTTCACTCTCCCTTCTGCCTACCCACTGAGCCCCCAGCCACATTGTCTTGCATTCTCCTGCCACAAACTGTACTCTTGTTTGCTATCCCCCTGGAGCGGATTCTCTCTCTTCCCTCCAGCTCTAGTTCCTGTGAGTACCAGGACAGGGTCAAGGGGAAGAGACGGACTGCCCTGCCCCAGAACCACTGCAGCATTCAGGTATTAGAAGGGGACAGACTCCTTTCCTGTTTTACCTCCTCTCCCCTCTGCACTCAGCCAGGGAGCACAGGAGAGCAGTCACCATTTGCCTCCTGCTCACTCCTCCCCACAGCCCTTTGTGGCATTGCTTTCTAACGTTGAGGCAGTAGCAGTTCTCAGTACTTGGGGGGGGCCTGTAAAACCCAGGGCTGCCAGGAGCTGTGTGGATTGACACTGGAATCAATAGGAAACATGATCAGAGAAAGATGGGACAGAATCACAGAACATAGTGAAGGAAAAGATGTATTAGCTCCATCAAGTCCATCCATCTTGCCCCCAGCCAGTGCAGGCCTGTATCCAAGGCCTTGTCCAGGACTCATTTTAAATGAACCAAGTGATGAAATTTCCCCCTTTCCCTTAGGAAAGACTCTTCTATAGACCAACACATCTTGCTGTCATGAAAATTTCCCATATATTTTGCCTGCATGTTAATTTTCTTCATTTCACTGTGTGAGCTAGTGCTGTGGGCAGGGCCGGCTCTACCTTTTTTGCCGCCCCAACCGGCGAAGCAAAGGAAAAAAAAAAAGCGGCCGCAGCAGTGCCGCCGAAAAAGAAAACATGAAAAAGCTGCCGCAGAACTGCCGCTGGAGAAGAAAAAAAAGAAAAAAAAATCGGAGTTTTTGCTGCCCCAGGCACCTGCTTCCTTAGCTGGTGCCTAGAGCCGGCCCTGGCTGTGGGCCAGCTGGAGACAACAGCAATCCTCCCAGAGTTCCCCTTAGGGTGGGGACAGCTCTGTACTACCTCCAGTGCAGGATTGCCCAGTCTAACCCTGAGTACAACACTGGTAGAGATCTACTATTCATTAGAATCTGTGCCATGGGAGCTAATGGAGAGAAAAGGGTTAATGAAAGGGAGTGTTCATTATTTCCCGATTTCTAAAGATCAGAGGGGTAGCCTTGTTAGTCTGTATCCACAAAAACAATGAGGAGTCTGGTGGCACCTTAAAGACTAACAGATTTATTTGAGCATAAGCTTTCGTGGGTAAAAACCCCACTTCTTCAGATGCATAAAAAGTGGGTTTTTTACCCACGAAAGCTTATGTCCAAATAAATCTGTTAGTCTTTAAGGTACCACCAGACTCCAGATTTCTAAACTAACTCTTTCCAAGCTTGTTATAGAGACTAATCCTCCCGGAGGGCTAACTCCAATATGAGATTTCATTTTGAAAACAAATGGTCAGTGATTTGTCAGAGAGAGAGAGGAGAAAATAGTGAGGCTGTGAGGGGAAAATACAAGCATCTAAAATGGGGTAATAAAATAAACAGCAGTCAGTACCTCAGAGACTTAAAAGTATTAGTGATGGACTCAAAACAATGTGTGCACAGAGAAGACCAGAACTACTGAAACTGGAACCCTCCAACCTATCTTGATGAATAGCTCCCCTTCTAAACATCCAGGTATGTTTGAAGTAAATCAGTCCAGGGAGTTTCAGTTACAAAGACTTAAATCTGGCACGTTCTCCACTATAATCTCCAGTTACAATAATAAACACACGCAGTCCTTACATAGCACTTTTCACTTCAGGATGACTTACAAATATTAGCTAATTAATCATAACACTCAGCACTTCATAAATATTAACTATTCCTCACAACGCCCCAGTGAGGCAGATAGATTAAGTGACTGGACCCAGGTCATAGAGGGTGTCAGTGCCAAGATAGATCTCAGGGGCTCCTGACTCCCAGCATGATGCTTATCCCGTTTACACATGCCTTGTGCTAAGCAGTCATTTGGCTGCTAGTCAGGAAAACACTGGTGTCCTGCGAGGGAATGGGTTTGGAAGGTGCTGAATGGAGAACATAAAGCTCTATATCCCAAGCCCAGCAGCAACATGCCTGGAATGTAAAACAAGGCAGAGAAACCAGCCCCAGAAGCGGCCCAAAGCACCAAGTCTAGCAACCAGTGCTTTCAGTACACGCGAGCACAGAAGTATCCCTCTTATCCCAGCTCCTGTGCAAATGAGCAGCCCTATCTCATGCTGCTGAGCAGCCAGGCCTGTTCTCTCCTTGTGATGAATTTCATGCATGAAAGGACTGAGAGACCCAGCCAAGCTACTGCCTATTCAGAGCACAAACCCACTCAGCTGTACTCCATTCATGCTCACCTCCTGCCTCTTTGTACACAATGGACATGGGTACATGGAGTAGGATGTTAAAACCTCACAGAATGAAGCTAAAAGCCCTCCTGCAGGCTGACATGGCTGCTTCCCTAGAAGCTACTGCTGACAGTTAGTTCACACAGGTCCCAGACCTTCCAACCCACTGAGGTTAAGCATCAGAATGGGCCGTAGCTTGTGCCCGGTAGAGGAGCCCACTCTCCAATTTGCTCATTCCATCTCCCACAGCCCCCCTCAGGTCATGGCAATATCTGCCTATGGCAAAAACTAGTGCCCTAAACTTAAGGCAGTTGGAAAGAGGACAACACTGAAATGGGAAGAGCCAACCATCTGTCCCTGCTGTGAACACTCACAGAACTGGACTGTACCCAAAAGGCCAAGTTCTGACCCCACCACATCTAAATTTCTCTCTTTTTGCCTTTAGAACACTGAAAAGCTGTCTCAGCCACAGAATGCTCACTGAATGGGGTGTACATGATACACTGACACCCCCTCCCCCTCCCAGGATGGGGGGGGGACCTTATGTTAAGGAAGGAAATGGGATAAAGCATGAGGTGAAAAAGTGTGTTCTAAAGGCATTTGCCTTCACATATATTATACCAAACTGTAGCACAGGGAAAGTGGTGCTGAATCCTGCCTCCTGACTGGCTAGTAGGGTGCACAATGCTATCCTTATGATGTGTCATGTATACTACAATAAAGACCAATGACTGAAGATTGCAACAGGCTGGCAGCATTTGGCTGAAACATTCCATCCCATTAATAGGTGTTGATGTTGCTGGGAAAGGGTTAAATGGGTTCTGCTGACTAACTGAGGCAGATAGCTCATTTCTCCATCCAGATAAAAGGGAAATGGGAGTGGCTTTCTAGGAACAGAGGATCTAGGGTGTGGGCTGAGCCATCCTCAAAGAGGAACCCTAGAAGCAGCCAAGCCTCTGAAAGAGGCTTGAGCTGCACTTTATGTAATGTTATGATCAATTGCTTTATTAATAAAACCAAACTCCAAGAAGGGGTGAGCTTTTGCCATTACACATGGTATGGGCTTTGTTTTAGAGCATGGTGGAAAGGCAGTTGCTTAGAAAGTTAACTATTCACTAATGTCTACCAGATCAGTGATGTTTCTAAGGACTGGACTGTTTCCTAACTGTCTCATGAACTCATTATAAGCCAGAGGATAATTCCTGCCCTAGAGGAACCCCTAATGATAACACAGTCTGGGTGAAAGAGCAGGTGATGACTACGAGCAGACCTGGGTTTCGAGCCCTTCCTCATAGTTATTTAGAACACCTGGTCAAAAAGAGACTCTGGCGGCTCCAGTCAGCACTGTTGACCGGGCCATTAAAAGTCCGGTTGGCACAGGCTGGCAGGCTCCCTACCTGGCTCCATGCAGCTCCTGGGAAGCAGCTGGCATGTCCCTACGGCTCCTAGGCAAACGGACAGCCATGGGGGCTCCGTAGGCTGCCCTGCCCCGAGTGCCAGCTCCGCAGCTCCCATTGACCGGGAACTGCAGCCAATGGAAGCTGCGGGGGTGGCGCCTGCCGGCGGAGGCGATGCACAAAGCCCCCTGGCCCCTCCACCTAGGAGCTGGAGGGACATGCCAGCCATTTCTGGGAGCCACCTGAGGTAAGTGCCGCCTGGAGCCTGCATCCCAATCCCCTGCCCCAGCCCTGAGCCCCCTCCTGCACCCCAAACCCCTCATCCCCAGCCCCACCCCAGAGCTCGCACCCCCAGCCAGAACCCTCACCCCCTCCCACACTCTGAACCCCTCAGTCCCAGCCCAGAGCCACCTCCTGCACCCCAAACCCCTCATCCCCAGCCCCACCCCAGAGTCCGCACCCCCAGCCGGAGCCCTCACCCCCTCCCACACCCCAACCCCCTGCCCAAGCCTGGTGAAAATGAGTGAGTGAGGGTAGGGGACAGCGAGCGATGGAGGGAGGGGGGATGGAGTGAGTGGCAGTGGGGCCTCAGAGAAGGGGCAGGGAGCAGGGCAAGCGTGTTCGGTTTTCTGTGATTACAAAGTTGGCAACCCTATTCAGAATGACTACAAAACTTTAAATCTGCAGCTATCAGATGCCATTATTATTTATTCAGTGTTTATTAACCAAATTTCCAGGAAAGAAAGGAGAGGAGGGACTTTTTAAGAATCAATCATTTACAAACAGCTATTTTTGCAGAAATCATGTCAGTTTCAAAGCCAGCCAGCGGCTTCCATCAACTGAGCTCTGTCTTGTGGCTGCAGCACAAGCTCAGCACAGAGGAAAAATAGCCTCACACTGTGGGCTCCTTCAGCGTCCGTTTCCAAATGAACAATACACAAGCCCCGGTACAAAAATAACATCTTGCTTTTGGTGTGCAGATGTCAGTCACATGACTGACTTTCCAAAATGCTTTGCAAAAACTGCAGCTGGCAAACGGTGTGATGAAAAAGGGGCACTTTGCTACAGAACTGTATGAAGAACTCGCATAAATCAAATAAACAGAAGCCACAATGACTCTGCAGCAGAAACTATGTGGGTTGGACACTGTCTGTGATCTCGGGAACCAACCAAGGCCCTAAAAGCAATTCAGCTGTATAGTTGCCTTAGAGTGAAAATAATGGTAGACTGAGGATCCTCACATACTAATTACCATTGACTAGCTGCAGTCAGCTTTATTTCCAAGTATATGCCAAGTACTGCAGCCCAGTGACATTATGGGGACAGACGTCACCACCACATAATATTCTGTTTCCTTGCTCGGGTCTAACCTATAAAGACCAGCTCTGAGCTGAAGAATGAGTTTCTCACAGACAGAATCTCTTAAGAACAAAATCACAGCTGGCAATAAGCATTTTTCCCAGACCTTACTACTTACACAGAACCTGCAGCCTTCTGGTGACTCCTTCTAAAGCTACAACAACTGTTTCCATGCACATGTTTTTATCCCTGAAGTGAATTAGAAAAGTTGCAGGACCAAAGGAAACGTGTACATTTCCTCTTGAGGAGTTCCTAGCTTAAGGTGGGAACACCAGAAAACTCTATGAATAATACTTGACTACCAGTAAGCAGAACAAAACAGGCCTGACTACAACAGTCTTCGGCACTTCAGAGTCATTGATGTGAAGGGGTTACAGATTCTCTGGGGTTTTCATGGAAATTCAGACTGCCCCTCACAGGATGGCCTGGCCCTTAAAGGACTCAGCCTCATCTGTACCTTATCAGATGCCTTCCCCCAGGTGTCGGGCTTTAAGGCAGATACAAGGGAGTTGAGAGGGGAAAGGAGACCTGCAAGGAAGGGTTGCCCATGCCCAGGGTTAGGGATAGGGTTTTGGGAAAGCATTGTTGAGCCCAACAAGTCGCTGAAGAAACTGTGGAGCTGGAACAGACTCCATTTAAACCAAAGTGATGTTTGAACTGAGATGCTGTTTTAATAATCCAGACCCCAAGAAAGGGTGTTATTTAACTTGCATGAGAGCCTGGCTGCAGTCCTTGGGAAGCCCAAGAAGGGAAACTGAGGCAATGGCAGGGTCTGACGCCAGAGTTGGTAAAAGACCCCATTACGTGTTGCTATGGCTGGATTTCCCTTCCTGACACCTGTCCAGCATAAGATCAAAAAAATTCCACTATCATTCTCTATGGAAATACACAGACTCTATGATGTTAAAATAATCAAACCCCTTTATTCACCAAATTGAGGCCTTGACTAACTTGGGGCTTGAGCAAGCAGTTTAGCTACCCATATATAGTCCAACAGCTCAAGCCATGACTTTATACCAGTGCAAGTCACAGTTTGCTCTATTGCAGTTATGGCAGCATAGCTACTCCAGTTGCTAAAACCCAGCGTAGATAAGGCTGAGTATCTCTAACAGCAATAGCCTGAAACAAAACAGACAAATAATTAGTTACGTGGGCCTGAGATACTTGGGTCTAAACTTTCCAGAAGATGATGTGTACATTTGTATACAACTGTGGTACCTGATTGTGCTAACTGGAAGTGCAAAGATATGCACATTTTACCAAAAGTCTTGTCTTTGAATACAAGCATACTAAGGGATTTAAAGCTAGCCACTGAAACTTAAATGTAGCTTTAAAGTGGATTTTCATATACTAGTCACCTAAAACTTACCAAAAACTGGATCTATCATCTGTGTGCTATCCAATACCTTTAATCACACAGTGTTTGACACGGTTGAATGGTTGTGCGGCAGACATACGTGGACACCCTTTGGACTTGCTTCAGAGCTTGCAAGGGGATGCTGGGGGGTGTTATCTTCAGGATGACCTTCTTATATGGAACAATTTAAGAAGAAAGGCACTACAGAAGCTAAAGTAATACCACCTCCGTGGAGCTGTTTAATGTTTGTGGGTTCAACTGAATGAAGAAATCTTCTGAATCCTTACTAATTGCTCACATACATTAGTCAAAATACAGCAGTAGGTGAGCTTCCTGCTCCATGGGAGAAACCAAAATAAAGTAGATTCAAATTCAAGCAAGGAACACATAGCTGTTCTGACGAGCATAAGAAAGAAAGAAAGAAAGAAATCTGGCCACTGTCAGAGAGAAGATCCTGGACTGAATTGACTCTGGGTCTGATCCAGTCTGGCAATCGCTATGAGACAGAGAGACACAGAAAAAGGGATGAAGAATGGCAGAACAGGAGGGAGAACAGAAAAGTAGCACCTCCACTGCTTGGGTCATTTGAAATGAGACTGGACAAAAGCACTAGAGAACAGCCCGTAGCTACCACTCTGGCATTGGCTCCCTGGGAATGGAGCAGATGGGACCCAGTGAGTATTTCTATCACTAAGATCAGTGAGTGTATAAAACTGGCACTGTAGACTTGCAGAGGTCCTTACCTTGCAGTGTATGAGCAGGGACACAGTCTCTTTCCTTCTGTCGTTCTCTTTCTTTTCTGCCCTGTCATCCTTGTCCTTCACCAGTGGGGATTGAACCCATGTGGTATATTCCCTGCTCTCCCCCCGCAGCTTGTTCAGATTCCCCTCCAGGAGGCGCCGTTGTACCACACTGTGTGGCTGCTGTCTCCACCACAAAGAAAAAGGACACTCTCAGCAAGGTATTGGGACAGGATCCAGAAAATCACCACTACTGCCAGCAGCTCCATTGGCCTGGGGAAGCAGTCTGCAAATGCTCTTTGGGCCTGGATGATCCACTTACTCTCAGGGGCGACACAGGCCATGAGTGTCGGAAATGTCCTTCTCAGTCTCCACCCCAGCCCAATTGCCTCTTACACACAGTAGCATCTCCCCGTAGTTTGTCTACTTCAAGTGCATCTCAGACAGCAGCCCTTGCTTTCAAATTAAATGCAGTTGACTGGTTATCTGTGCCATGTCCTCTCCAGCGTGGCCTTGTCTCTGGAGAGCTCAGTGCAATCATAACAGGAGAAGAGCCTCCTGACACACCATCTCCAAATACATATCCAGTCCCACAGTCAGTCAGTCTCACACGCCTCACACCCATTTACCTCCACACATACCCTACCAGACATGGACATGCAGACACACACAACCCAGCACTATCACACTCTGTGATGGGGCATGTACCCACATGGGCAACGCAAGAGTTAACGGGAGACAGAGAGCACCTAGAGTACCTGGTTGCACCTTGAGGGTGGGCCAGGCCTAACTGAAGATGAAGCCCAGCTGCGGGAAGAACTGGGTGGTACTCATAAAGGAAGGAAGCCCTGAGGAGAAGGGGGCTGTAGAGTGAGAAGGGAAGTGCTGGTCAGCTTTTTGCTAGGGTGTGGCGGAAGGGCTGGGAGAGAGGCAGCTATACAGTAAGCCTAGGGACGGGGCAGGCTGTGGGAAAGGGTCTAAAGGAAGAACAATGTAGGAAGAAGTCCAGGGAGGCATCTGAGGTAGCAGACCTTTACTGCTTGCTATGGGGTCCCTGGACTGGAACCCAGAGGAGAGGAAGGGCCTGGGCTCCATTCACTACTGGTCCACTGGAAAAGGTGGTGTGGCAACACCTGAGGCCGGGGGGAGAAGGACTGTTCAGTTGGATCTGGGAGGCATTGCTCTGCATGTGAGTGGGAGGACAGGCCTGTAGAGGCCAGAAAGGGGTGAAGAGTCTGGCAGAGTACCCCTGGGTAGGGGTGAAGAGTGATATTTGAGTTCATTGGACTCTTTGCCTGCCCTGTGGGAGGGGCGGGAAGTAGCATAACTTGGCCGGAAGGAAGACCACTGCAGAGCCAGAGGGGCTCTTGGCAGGGGTGCTAGGCCATGCCCAAAACTAGGCTGCTAGGAGTGAGTCCACTCTTCCAAACACTCCATAGAGTGACACCCACAGCATAGCCTGGGGAGGCAGCACAAAGGACACAGTAGGATACAATACGTGCCTCAGAGAGACGTCTGGGTGCAGGGCTGTAACTGGGGCAAGCGGGGCAGTCATCCATGGCATAAATTGCAGGATGGAAAAATGGGGATTTGAAGAAAAAGGTGGTTGTGGTGGGAAAATATGCTTGCTTGCCCCCACCGATGACATATAACAGTTGATGGGGGCGGGCATAATTTAAAGGTTTTTTGGGGGGAGTATGTGACTGCCCCACTAGGCTGGCTAGATAGCAAGTGTCAAAAATCAGGACGGGGGTGGGGGGTAATAGGTGCCTATGTGAGAAAAAGACCCAAAAATCAGGACTGTCCCTATAAAATCGGGACATCTGGTCACCCTATGCCCCACAGAGGTTTTCAAACTGTGGGGTGTGCTCCCTGGGAGGTGGGGTGCAGAGCAATGTTCAGGGGGTGTGAGCAGTAATGCTGGGGGATGAGCAGCGATGCCAGGTGGGGTTGGGGGAGGGAGTACCACCTGCATCCCCTGACTCACTTCAGTGCGCCACCCAGCCTGTCGGCGTTGGGGTGTGTGTGTGTGCGTGCAACCAAAAAAATCTAGGGGGCCATGTAACACTGTGTGCGCCCCCCCCCCCCCCACACACATCACCTCTGCTCGTCCTGAGTGCTAAAAATGCCTAGTTACAGCTCTGTGTGGGTGTCTTCCTCCACAGGCTTACCATAAACAGAGTTTCTAGGGCATTTTAAGGCCTGCCCGGCAAAAGAGACCCTTCTCCCTCCCAGCAGTGGCAGGATGTCTCACCTCCTGCAAGGGGCAATGGCAGGAGGGCTGCTGGAAGGCCAGGCTGCCTTCACTCCCTAAGGGGAGCAGCTGCAGCAAAACCAATAGCCAAGTTCTCCTCCTTATCCCCTTCCCTACAGGATAGTAGCAACTTCTCCTCCTCCTCTTCTGCTCTGCCTGGGCAAAGGAGGGGGTGGGGAAGATTTACGTGTCATACAACATTTAATACCTTGGTAGGTGGTGATGACTGCTGCTTCCAAAGGGAGCTCACTTCACCATCAGCCAGCTGCTGAAGTCCTCACCCAGTGTTTACTCGGTCCCTATGTAGGGACTGTAAGGACTGAGTAAAATCCAGAAATCAGGGCAACTAATCTGTGGTTCTGCCTGCTTTCCGCATGCTGGGGACCATAATCCTTCAACCTGGGATCTGATGATTCAGACCTGGTAAGGGAGTCATTGCTGCCTAGAAGAGAGAAGGGCTACTGGATCTGGCCAGGCTGCCTCTCCCTAATGACCGGCTGCTTCCACCTTCCTCTGAAATATCCAACTCTCTGATGGTGGGTGTTTAGGCCTGCGGGCTTTTTTACCACCCTGCAGTGACTCTCAGAGGAAAAAGGCCTACCGAGTCCATTTACCTACAAGGGCAAGATACACTGTAATAATATCCTTACAGAGAACATATCCCTCTGCATCCCATTAGTTGTCAATTTGATCTTGACCATAAGGCTATGTAAGACTTTAGATTAAACCTTAAATGGAGCCCACTGTAGCTCTGATTTATCAGCTTCCCCAGTGATTAGAGCAAGAGACTTGCTTTCTATTCTGGGCTCTGCCAATAACGCACTGTGTGGTCTGGGGCAAGACATTCAACCCCTCTGTGCCTCAGTTTCCCTACCCATAAAATGGGAAGGATAATAGCTTTGTAAAGTGCTTTGGGATGAAAAAAACGCCATCTAAGATCAAAGAATGAAAGTAATTACACCCTTCTACCCCCCCACCCTGCATCCCAGTCTACAAGCTAAAAGGGAGGTCTGCTATTTCATTTTATTCTCTAAATACTCCAAGCTCAGCGTCATGAGGTTTTAGACGATAACCCAATGCCAGTCAGGCTGCCAGCTAAGACTGGGGCCATGGGAAAAGGGCAGGGGGCGCCATATTCCCACCCTCTCTTCCCCATGTACTCTCACACAGTCTGGCATCCAACAGGCTTTTCTCTCCCTCCCAGGGAACTTTCCCACAGGAAGAGCAAGCCCTCTCCAGCTGCTACCTCTGTCACTCAGGCCAGGAGAGGGTCACGCATTGATATGGGGAGCTAAGCTTTGGGACAGCAAGGGCATCTGTTCTGAGAGCGGAGAACATGCTCTTCTCTGTCTCCTGCGTCACTGAGGAGAGATGGGAATGAAGAGGAGACAGGACAAGAAATGCAGCGCGAGAGAGGAGTGGAGTGGAGAGATGGTGAGTTGAGAGGTGCGGTGAGGGGAGGAAGAAGGCCCCGCCAGGGAAGCTTCCTGCTCCTGGGATGGTTGGGCAGCGTTCCCTGTGGAACCCGACAGTGCTGCTCCTTAGCCAGCAGAAGTTGAAACTAGTTCAGTGAACTACGGCACACCCATTTCCCCTTGCACCTCCTGAACTGAGAGTCCCACCTTGACAGGGCCCGAGCTCCCAGAATCCCAGGGGTTGGGACTAGCAGCACTGCCCTGCCCAGCGAACACGCCTTAGCTGGGAATTCTGATTGCTAGCAATGACGTAAAACAGTTGCACACGGCTGAGTCTCACAGTTTTATCACTCGTCTCGTTTTTCAGCTGCTGGAGTCATGTGATTACTTGAGAATCTCAGCTTTCTTTTCTCTGTTTTAAAATAAGTTTCTAGCCCTCATGTTTGCAGAGAGAAGCTGAAAAACATGAAGCAAGTGCACCCTAAAGGCTCAGAAACCAGAAGGCAAAGATAAACATTCCAACCTTTATTATTTAAAGAAATCTCAGGATTTTAAAGCTAGTCTTGATTTTTAAGGGCTTGGGATGGGTAAAACTGAAACATACATAAGAATGTCCATTCTGGGTCAGACCAATGGTCCATCTACCTAGTATCCTGTCCTCCAACAGTGGCTGGTGCCAGGTGCTTCACATATAGAGAACAGAGCAGGGCAATTATTAAGGGATCCGTCCCCTGTCGTCCAGCCCCAGCTTCTGGCAGCTAGAGGTTTAGGGACATCCTGAGCATGGGGTTGCTTCCCTGACCATCCTGGCTAATAGCCATTGATGGACCTATCCTCCAGGAACTTCTCTCATTCTTTTTTAAACCCTGTTATACTTTTGGCCATCACTACAACCCCTGGCAATGAGTTCCACAGGTTGACAATGCATTGTGTAAAGAAGTACTTCCTTTTGTTTGTTTTAAACCTGCTGCCTGTTTATTTCATTGGGTGACCCCTGGTTCATATGTTATGTGAAGGGGTAAATAACACTTTCTATAGGCACTGACTTTTATTTTTCCCCAGGGGTGCTCCACCCCCGTTCCGCCCCGAGGCCCCGTCCCCACTCTACCCCTTCCCCCAAGACCCCGCCTTCACTCTGCCTCTTCCTGCCCCTGCTCCACCCCCTTCCTGAGGCCCCACCCTCGCTCCGCCTCTTCACACCCCTGCTCCAACCCCTCCCCCAAGGCCCCCGCCCACTCACCGCTTACTGCTCTCTGCCCTCCCTCAGCTGACAAACAGCTGTGCCTGATGGGTGCTGAGCACCCACTATTTTTTTTTCCATGAGTGCTTGAGCCTCAGAGCACCCGTCGAGTCAGCGCCTATGACACTTATTCACTTCCTCCACATCATTCACAATTTTATAGACCTCTAGCATATCCCTCCTTAAACATCTTTTTTTCCCAAATTGAATAGTCCCAGTCTCTTTAATCTCTCAGATGGAAACTGTTCCGTACTCGTAATCATTTTTGTTGCCT